TTTTGATTTCCTCTTTGATTTCTCTAATGATCCATTGGTGGTTTAGTAGCATATTGTTTAGCCTCCATGTGTTTGTGTTTTTTGCATTTTTTTCCTTGTAGTTGATTTCTAGTCTCATAGCGTTGTGGTTGGAAAAGATACTTGATATTATTTCAGTTTTCTTAAATTTACTGAGGCTTGTTTTGAAGCCTAACATGTGATCTATCCTGGAGAATGTTCCATGTGCACTTGAAAAGAATGTGTATTCTGCTGCTTCTGGATGGAATGCTTTTTATGTATCAGTTAAGTCCATCTCGTCTAATGTGTCACTTCAGGCCAGTGTTTCCTTATTGATTTTCTATCTAGATGATCTGTTCATTGATGTAAGTGAGGTGTTAAATTCCTCTACTATTATGTTACTGTTGATTTCTCCTTTTATGTCCGTTAATATTTGCCTTATATATTGAGGTGCTCCTGTGTTGGGTGCATATATATTTACAATTGTTCTGTCTTCTTCTTGGATTGATCCCTTGATCTTTGTAACCGTCTTTATTTTAAAGTATGTTTTATCTGATAAAAGTATTGCTATTCTGGCTTTTTTTTGATTTCCATTTGCATGGAATACCTTTTCCATCCCCTCACTTTCAGTCTTTTGTGTCTTTAGGTCTGAAGTGAGTCTCTTGTAGGCAGCATATATATGGGTCTTGTTTTTGTATCCATTGAGCCACGCTGTGTCTTTTGATTGGAACATATAGTCTGTTTACAGTTAAGGTAATTATTGATATGTATGTTCTTGTTGCCGTTTTGTTGGTTGTTTGGGGTTTGTTTTGTCTTTTTCTTCTTCTTTTGTTCTTCTCTTGTGATTTGACTATTTTTAGTGTTATATTTGAATTCCTTTTTTTGTGTGTGTATCTATTTTTGATTTTTGTTTTGTGGTTACCATGAGATTTTTATATAGCAATCTATATATATGTGATTAAGTTGCTGATCTCTTACTTTCAAATGCGTTTTAATAACCCTGTCTTTATACTCTTCTCCCCTCACGATTACTGTTTTTATATTATATCTTTTGTCTAATTGTTTCATGTATCCCTTAACTGCTTAAGTGATTTTGATAGTTATTTTACTACCTTCGTCTTTTAACCTTCCTACTCACTTTATGCGTGGATGATTCCCTACCTTTACTGTGTGTTGGCCTTTACTGATGAGCTTTTTCATTTCATAATTTTCATGTTTCTCATTGTGGCCTTTTCTTTTTTCACCAGGAGAAGTTCCTTTAATATTTATTGTAAAGCTGATTTGATGATGCTGAACTCTTTTAGCTTTTGCTTGTTTGTAAAGTTTTTGATCTTTCTATCAAATCTGAACGAGAGGCTTGCTGGGTAGAGTATTTCTTGGTTGTAGGTTCCAAGTTCTTCCCTTTCATCATTTAAAATATATCATGCCACTCCCTTCTGGCCTGCAGGGTTTCTGCTGAAAAATCAGCTGATAGGCTTATGGGAGTTCCCTTGGATGTTATTTGTTGCTTTTCCCTTGCTGCTTTTAAGATTCTCTCTTTAATTTTTTTGTCATTTTAATTACAGTGTGTCTTGGTGTGTTACTCTTTGGGTTAATCTTGTATGGAACTCTCTGCCCTTCCTGGACTTGGATGACCGTTTCCTTTTCCAGGTTAGGGAAGTTTTCACCTGTTAATTCTTCAAATATGTTCTCAGCTCCTATTTATCTCTCTTCTCCTTCTGGGACCCCTATAATGTGAATATTTGTGCACTTGATATTGTCCCAAAGGGCTCTTAAACTGTCCTCATTTCTGTTTGTTCTTTTTCCTTTTTTCTGTTTAGTGGCAGTGATTTCTACTACTCCATCTCTCAGCTTGCTGATCCATTTTTCTGTATCATTTAGTCTACTGTAGATTCCTTCTAGTATATTTTTTATTTCAGTTATTGTGTTCTTCATCTTTCTCTTGTTTTTTATGTTTTCTCTTTGTTAAAAACTTTTAACTTCTTACTCTGTGCATCCATTCTTGTCCTGAGTTCTTTGATCATCTTTATGATCATTACCCTGGACTCTTTCTTGGGTAGATTGCGTGTCTCCACTTCACTAAGTTCTTATTCTAGAGTTTTATCTTGTTCCTTCATTTAGAACATGTTCTTCTGTCACCTCATTTTGCCTAAGTTGCTGGGGTTTTTTTTTTTTTTTTTGCCGTACACAGACCTCTCACTGTTGTGGCCTCTCCCGTTGAGGAGCACAGGCTCTGGACACGCAGGCTCAGCGGCCATGGTTCACGGGCCCAGCTGCTTTGTGGCATGTGGGATCTTCCCGGACCGGGGCACGAACCCATGTCCCCTGCATCGGCAGGCGGACTCTCAACCACTGTGCCATCAGGGAAGCCCCGCTGTTTGTATTTTTATGTATCTGGTGGGTTAATTATGTTTCCTGACCTTGGAGAAGTATTCTTCTGTAGGAGATGTGCTATGCACCCTAGCAGTGCAGTCCCCTATCATGGCCAAACTGTATGTTCTAGCAGTGCCCCCTATGAGGGCTGCATGTTTCCTTCTGTTGTGGCAGGCTGACTATGTGGACAGTCTGGTAGCCTTGGTTGGTTGGCCCCTACTCCGGTTGGTTGCCAGGCCATGCTTTGGCCGTGTTTTGGGAGGCTGTTGGCTACTGGTTGGTGGAGCCTAGTCACGAGGCAGCTGACTGCTGTACCCCAGGGGGCCCTGGGGCTAGTCCTGGCTCACTGGTGGGTGGAATCAGGGTCCAGAAAACTTTGGGGCTGTTGCCCACCTACTGATGGGTGAAGCCAGGTCTTGGGATTAATGCCGGACTACTAGCAGTCACAGTTGGGTCCTGGAGTCTGGCTGTAGTGCCCAGGGATCACAGAGCTGGTGTCAGATAACTGGTGTGTGGGGGTGGGGGGTGGGGGCGTTTCCTGACACAGTTGAGTATGGGGTCCAGGGTGTTGGGAAGCTTGTTTTGGCCTGCTAGTGGGAAGGATTGGGGCCCAGCTGGTCCCAGGGTAGGGTCTGGCCTGCTGTGGGCAGGCTGGGTCTGCAGGCTGTGGGATTGTGCCTTTCTTACGTATGGTGCCTGCCCCCTGGTGGGTGAGACTCGTCCAATGGCTAGAGCAGCCTTCTGGGAGGGCAGGGCTGGTGCCTGCACATTGGTGGGTGGAGCTGGGTCCTAGCCCTCTGGTGGGCCGGGCCATGTTCAGAGGCAGGTGTAGGCTCAGGAAGTTTTAGGCAGCCTGTCTGCTGATAGGTGGGGTTGTGTCCCCATCCAATTAGTTGCTTTGCCTGAGGCATCCCAGCACTGGTGCCTACAGGCCGTTGGATGGGCCAGGTCTTGGTGCTAATGAGCTAGAGGGAGGGTTCCACAGTGGTGCCTGGCAGCACCATTGTCCACGCAGTAGAAGGAGCTCCCAAGATTGGCTGCTGCCAGTGTCTGTGTCCCTAGGGTGAGCCACAGCTCCCCCCCACCTTCCTCCAAGGATACTCTCCTAGACCAGTAGGTAGGTCTAGCCCAGGCTCCTATCAAATTACTGCTTTTGCCCTGGGTTCTAGAACATGTCAGATTTTGTGTGCACCTTTTAAGAGCCAGGTCTCTGTTTCCCCCAGTCCTTTGAGCCTCCCAAAGTTAAGCCCTGCTGACCTTCAAAGCCAAATGCTCTGGGGGCTTGTCTTCTTGGTGCTTGACTCCTGGGCTGCAGAGCCCAATGTGGGGCTTAGAACTCTCACTCCTGTGGGAGAACCTCTGCAATATAATGATTCTCCAGTTTGTGGGTTGCCCACCCCGTGGTATGGGACATGATTATATTGAGAGTCTGCCTCTCCTACCCATCTTGTTGTGGTTCCTCCTTTAATTGTAGAAGATCTTTTTCTGGTAGATTCTGGTCTTTTTCATTGATGGTTGTTCTGCAAATAGTTGTGATTTTGGTATGCTCGTGAGAGGAGGTGAGCTCAGTGTCTTTCTACTCTGCTATCTTGGCCAGTCTCTCCCTTTCTCTGTCAATTTTTTCTTTTCAGAGAAACATCTCTTAGTTTCATTGATCCTTGTAAATTAATTATTTTTTTATGCACAGTATTTGGTGTGAAATAACAAATTATGAGACATGGAGAGAAACAAAGAAATGTGACCCATGGTCAGGAGAAGAGCTAAGAGAAACAGTCAGTGATGGTCCAGATGTTGAACAGTTGGAATGGATGAACAGTTAGAAAATTTTAGCAGGAAGATGGAAGACTATAAAAAGACTGAACTGGGAATGCTAGAAGTGAAAGTATGACTCAGACATTAAATATTCATTTGATGGGCCTAATAGCAGACTGGACATAGCTGGCAAACCCCAAGCAGAATAAGTACAAAGCTGAGGAACATTTCTAACTTAACGCTATTAAATCTTCCAATTCATGAACATGGGATGTGTTTCAGTTTATTCAAGCCTTCTTTAATTTCTCACAACAGTGTTTAGTGTAAGTTTTCAATATATAATGTCAGGCACTTCTTTAGTTAAATGTATTCCTAAGTTGTTTTTTGTTTCAGTTTTTTTTTTGGCTGTGTTGGGTCTTTGTTGCTGCACGCAGGCTTTCACTAGTTGTGGTGTGCAATCTTCTCATTGCAGTGGCTTCTCTTGTTGTGAGGCACAGGCTCTAGGTGCGCGAGCTTTGGTAGTTGTGGCACACGGGCTCAGTAGTTTCTGCATGCGGGCCCTAGAGCACACAGGCTTCAGTAGTTGTAATGCATGGGCTCAGTAGTTGCGGTGTGCGGGCTCTAGGGTGCGCGGGCTTCAGTAATTGTGGCGAGTGGGGCCAGTAGTTGCGGCTCTTGGGCTCTAGAGCACAGGTTCAGTAGATGTGGCTAACGGGCTTAGTTGCTCCACAGCATGTGGGATCTCTCAAGACCAGGGATCGAACTCATTGTCCCCTGTATTGGCAGGTGGATTCTTAAGCACTGCGCCACCAGGGAAGCCCCTTTTTTTTTTTTGATTGAGGAACATTTTAATAATATCCCCTTTTTTTTTTCTGTAGGTTTTCTCAAATAATGATGAAGGCCTTATTAACAAAAAGTTACCCAAAGAACTTCTTTTGAGGTAAGTATAGATAAACTTTAAAGATTTCAGATATGATTCAGTCATCAAGTTCCAAGACAATCTTCTTTCTCACTATGAGTCCATAGCTTAGAAAAACAGACAGAATTAGCCTAACTGACTTTTTGTTTTTGTTTTATAGAATGCTGTTCAGCTTGTTGTTAAATTTTACTTGGTCTAATCCAGAATGTACTAAGTATGTACGTAGCATTGGTCTGGATTCTTTTTGTAATGTGGTAAGTATTGTAATAATCCTCAGTAGGTGCCACTGTTTGGGTATTAGTAGGTTATCTCAATGTAGTCAGTAACACGAGGAGAGATTATTAAGGTTGTGAGCTCCTGAAGTCATAGACATTTAGATGTTTTTCTGATCAATAATTACACTATATGTTCTTACTGAGCACTTAAAATGCTATCAGCCCAAATATTGATGTTTTTATTCACTTTATGAGAATTATGTGCTAAGTGACACTACCATAGAACAGGCTTTTTGTGCTTTATTTTTTAGCATTACTGAATATACAGTTAATGGTATTTTGCTTGTCGTTTTGGGAAGTAAAGCTATCAGCCAACATTTGTTGAACCTGAGGCACTGCAGTTTCCTTTAGTACTCTGCAAGCATCAAGCAAATCTTATTTAATTTTGGATGTTATATTTTAATTGTTAACAAACAATTAATACACGTACACATGGTAATCTTTGAGTGGCATTTCCCAAACTCTTCATATCACTGATATTTCACAAAACAAAACAAAAAAGCAGGTTTTGTGATCAAGTAAGTATGGGAAAAACTGGGTTAACAAAACCAGTTTCTTTACCACGTAACCTCTCAGAGCCCTAATAGGCTAATATGCATGGTGATGCTCCCAGATGAATAGTTGTGGCATTTCAGATTTACTGACCATGGAACGCTTTTAATATTCCTTGGAAAATGCTGATATATAGTAAGAGATTGAGCAGCTTACTCTGTTCCCTGGCTGTGCTAAATCTCATTTTAACATTTAGGGGATGAGTATGAATGTGTGTTTTGTTTACATGTTGGAGTCCATCATAGAGTTACTCTATAAATGCCATGGATTGCTCACCTTTTCCACCTTGTATGTTAGACTTTTGTTCTTGAGTCAGGAATGGGGTGAAGGCTTAGGGTCTTTGTGGTGGTGATCACATTTTAGGGGCTTCAGGGTGGCATTTCATTAGTCATCAGGTGTTGTTTGACACTGTTGCCGTGAGCTCATTCTACTCAGTTAATAAAGAAGAAAATTAATTCATGGCAGGATCACATGAAAAATACAGCAGTTATGTTTTATTTCAACAAAATAAATATTTGTTTAGTTAAGAGAGAATATTCTTTGGCATTTTAGACCATTTTAAAGTTAAGAAAGTGGTAACAAGGAAGGAATGATATGTTTATCACATAAACCCAGAGGGTCTTAATCAAGCACCGTAAGTTGTTAGAACCAGCGTGGTTAGGGTGGGCTGGCTGTTACTATGCAGCGGTCGGCGATGCCATCCACACCAGACCACAGAGTGAGTGATGTTTCCCAGAATCGTGCAATGTTTCATTCTTAGTCTGAACATTTTTCTAGCACAGACATCAAACTGTAATGTGAATATGTCATTTTTACCCTGGGGACTCATAACCAGCTTCACACCCACCCACGTTAGTCATTTAACACTGGAGTGTGATTAAACTCCACCCTTCTCCTGAGTACTGCTGCTGTTTTGACTCAAGGGTGCTAACTTAATACTCTTTCCCTTTTGGTAGGGTTAGCTTTTATACTGTACTCAGCCATGGTACTGTTTCTACCTACTGACCAAGAAGGGCCGGTGGGGGGCGGGGCGGGTGTTGGAATTACATCACTTTCCGTGCTAGTGTGATTTCTGAACTGCCATTTTAGAAGTATTAGTTCTTTTAAACATCCATGATGGACCCAGCTTTCAAAAATCCTGGAGTTATAGTTTTTGAATTATGCTAAGGCTCATACATAGATCATTTTTAAAAAAGAATTGTCATTTGGGAGCAAATGTTCATAGATTTGCATTCCCACTTCTGTTCTAATTTTGGAGTCTGTAAAGGGAATTTAAATTTTAAAGTACTGCCACAACAGGTCTTCTCTGACTCTTCATTCTCAAAACTAACTCTAGCCAGATATTAATTTTTGTTGGTCTTTATATCATTTCTGCCATTTTACTCTCAGACTTTCTATTCTCAATAGTAGCAGCTCTCCCCTTTCCCGGCTACCCTTTTTAAGCAAAATTTTGAAGAAGGGTTTGAGCCAGGTTACCAAAGCAGACATCTTCATCGTTCGTTAATTCCACAACAAAGTGAGTGAGTGCTACAAATTCCCCACCTCATGGAGCTTAAGTGTTGATTGGTTTTGCTAAGATAAATGATGTCTTCATACTTTCGGTCTGTCTTAGGCTTACATTTTTACTTCATATAGTAGACTTCTTTGTGACAGAGCAGACTGTTGTTCCTGTTCTCGTTGAATTCCTATTTACTTTCAGTCTTACTTCATCAATAGGTGTGAATTCCTTGAGTGTACGATAATCTTATTTGCTTGCAGCCAAGGTCACTTTCTCTTCTGCCATTTTTTACTGCATCTGTTACCACCCTCTTAAATTCTCTGCTAGCTTCCATTACTGGTCATATCAAGTGAAGCTTCAGCTTACCCTCTGGAACCGTTAACAAACCTGGAACTACGTGATTTTTTTATTTTTATTTTTTAATGTTTGTTTGTTTGTTTATTTATTTATTTATTTTGGCTGATCCTGGTTGTAGTTGCGGCACTCGGGATCTTCGTTGCGGCATGCGGGATCTTTTAGTTGCAGCATGCTGACTTCTTAGTTGTGGTATGCATGTGGGATCTAGTTCCCCAAACAGGGATCGAACCCAGGCCCCCTGCATTGGGAGCGTGGAGTCTTATCCACTGGACCACCAGGGAAGTACCTGGAACTATGCACTTTTCATCTCTCTATATCACTTTGAATCCACTCAGAAAAAATCTGAGTTTTTTTATCTGATCATCTTATTGCTAGTTTTAAGACTACCCGATATTATTAATTCACAGGTCCCTTCTGCTACCCATTTTTAGTTTGTTACTTAACAAGCTTTTACATTTGCTTTTTCTATCCAGCTTTTACTTATAAATTAAAGATATTCGAGTTCTCCCTCTCTACCTTTCACTCTCCCACAGTTCAACAAATAGCTTGTAATTTTACTGTTCCTAGGGAGTCAGTTATATAATGCTTATAACAATGGGAATATATAGTTTGTTGTAATGTCTATATCTGTTAGTGAGTTGGGTTCTCCTTGCATGTATTTATCCTCGTTGTTATTGTCTGTATTTTGGAGCTAAACTTGCTTGAGATTTCAGCTCTCCCCATTTACTAGTTGTGTGACCCTAAAGTGACTTCACTCTCTGGGCCATAATTTCCCATATCTGTAATAGTAATAGTTCTTACCTTAGGGGGTTGTTGGCTGGCTCTGAGTACCTGGCGTTTAATAAATGTTAAATAAATGTTATCTCTTATTATTATTTTTAAAAAATATTTATTATTTATTTGACTGCGTCAGGTCTTAGTTGCAGCATGCGGAATCTTTCGTTGCGGCACGCGGGCTTCTCTCTAGTGGCGGCACGTGGGCTCTCTAGTTGTGGCACAGGCTCTAGAGTGCACAGGCTCAGTAGTTGCACTGTGTGGGCTCATTAGTTGCAGCACATGGGCTTAGTTGCCCTGCAGCATGGAGGAGCTTAGTTCCCCAACCAGGGATCGAACATGCGTCCCCTGCATTGGAAGGTGGATTCTTAACCACTGGACCACCAGGGAAGTCCCTCTTATTATTATTAATTAATATCAATTTTGGATCTCTGAATACTTAATAAATACTGTTGACAGTGCAGTTGGTTTTAATACAAACAACTGAAAAAAGCAAGCTGTCCTGATATGGATCTTAACATATGCTACTGATAACAGTCTCAGTAAAATACCTGATTATTAAGTAAGTTAATGTAGCCTGGTGCTTCATTTCATCAACCTACACTAATTCAGTCTCAATGGAAATTGCATACTACCATCTGACATTAAACTGACTACTACTGGAGCTTGAGCAGAATAGTGGTGGTATTATGACAACTGTTAATTATTTTGTATTATAAAAAAGGCAGTCTCTTGGAAGGAAACATTCCTCTTTTGAGAAAAGTCTTATATGAGCAAATATTGGCTCACAACTCAGATTATAAATTTTAATATTAATTTGTTTGACCTTAAGTTTTTACTTCTGTTATGGTTGCTCTCAGGCGCTAGTGATGAAATGAAAATGCATGTAAACTTCATAGGAATAGGGAGTGCTACATGCAGTAAATATTTTAAAACATTCTGAAAAGACATGGCTTTTGTTAGTAATAAATAATAAACCTCTTATTAGACATATTTTTAAAAACTAAATCACCGTTATCTGTATAATTGTATTTCCTTTTAAAATGCATATGGGGACTTCCCCAGCGGTCCAGTGGTTAAGACTCCGAGCTTCCAATGCAAGGGGTGTGGTTTCGATCCCTGGTTGGGGAACCATGGGGAACCCACATGCCGTGTGGCATGTCCAAAAAATAAAAAATAAAACAAAAATGTGGATCCATGACAAAATTAAATCCTGATCATGTTTGTTAGCTTGATGAAGGAAGGTTTGATGGCCTCAAACAGGAGAGGTGAGGCTAATCATTTCGGGCAAATGGAATCAACTACAAAATTACCTATAATTTGGCGGTTTTACTAGTTTGCTAGGGAAAATTATAAAATGAAGAAAAATTACAAGCTATTTGTTGAACTGTGTGAGAGTGAAGGATAGAGAGGGAGAACTCGAATATCTTTTATAAGTGAAAGCAGGATAGAAAAAGCAAATGTAAAACTTGTTAAGTACAAACTAGAAATGGGTAACAGAAGGGATCTGTGAATTAATAATATTGAGTAGTCTTAAAACTAGCAATAAGATGATCAGATGAAAAAAAAACTCATAGATTTTTTCTGAGTGGGTGTTCTTGCCTGCTGGTTGGTTGCAGCACTCCATGGACTTTTTCAAGGACTGGTACCTACACCTCCTGCTGCCTGTGATGCCTTATATATATTCCAAGGCAGCCTAACAGGTAAGATGATCTTTTGGGGGTACATACTACAAATTCATGTTTAAACATCTATGCAGACTTTTCTTTTTTGTTAAAGAGGTTTTTTTGGTTTGTTC